TATTTGGTGAGTTCTCTGTCTCTCTCTCTCTCTCTCTCTCTCTCTCTCTCTCACACACACACACACACACACACTTTCATACACACACACACACCCACTCTCTCATACATACACACACACACACACTCTCGCATACACACACACACACACATGTATGCCTTAACATATGCCTATTTTGGTGTTCCTTTTGCAGTAATAGAGTGTTGGACCTGATAGAGCATATGGCTTTGGTGGCAGCTACCAAATAGAGAAGTAGCTGCTCTGCTTCTGCAGAAATCATTATTTTTTGTGCGAGAAATGAATTTGAATGATTGCAAAAATTTCAATTCTTAGTAGTGAGTTATGTTAGCGATGTTGTCCGAATAATACACCAAGTCATGTACGACGATTCATTTAAAAAATACATGTATTGGGTTTTGAGGTTTGGAGAAACTAATGTGGTTCTCTCTCTCTTTCTCTCTACCATGTACTGCCCGAGAATCGATCTTTTCAACTAGAAGCTTCTCAAAATTCATTTACGATCGGAACGTATTTGTTTCAATTACAAGAATGCCATTTTTTTCTTGTAGTGTGGATTTACGGAATCTTAACACTAGTACTGTATATGAAATTAATGTTCGATTTTCATCGCAGGATTAGCTTGTATATTTGTTACACGGCTAATCATTCTTATCTGACTACAGTTCAGCAAAACAACACATGTCATAAGCATCAAGAGGATTATTGCATATGATTATTACAAATAACCTAATTAATTTGCATTAATCAAACAACACTAATCCTCTGTTTCTTGCTGGCTAAGTCTATTCATTTGAATTTTCTTCCCGCGGCCTTGGGCTTTTGCATGTGTTTACACGTGGACAAGCAGCATTTAATTTGGATATATCCCTACTTTCCATTGATTCCCATGGAGCTAGTATATAACTCCACCCCATATTCTCTGCTCCCAATCTATATAAAGAAGCAAAGAGCGATAAATAATTGAACGATCAACGATGAAAACTAAACACGCTTTTGCGCTTGTGCTCTTCTTGGTCTTCGTTTTCGCCTGTGGTAATTCTTCTTCTTCCGATTCATTTTTTTTATTAATGATTCTGTTTATTTATTTAATTTTTATTTTTTTCTTAGAGGAGGCGAAGGGTAGGACATGCGAATCACAAAGCTTCAATTTTAGAGGGCCATGCGTAATCGACCACAATTGCAAGGCCGTTTGCGAAAGTGAAGGTTTCACCGACGGAGATTGTCAAGGATTTCGAAGACGTTGCTTCTGCAGAAAACCATGCTAAATTAATTAATTAATTAACTAATTAATTAATGATCTTGCATCATTTTATATTGTACTAGAAAATAAATTTAAAGGAAATTAAAACATGATCCAACTGAAAATACACATAGTTGTGAGATCTTCGAATGCTGCTAATAAATTACATTTTTGGTGTACTATTGACTGACTATTTGAGTATTGGAAATAAATAGTTAAATCACTACATTTAAATTTTGTTATTTTAATTAAGTCATATTAATTATCAACCAATAAAGAAAATAAAAATAAAAATTGCAGCTCAAAGAATTGACGTATTAAGCCCAATAAAATGTGTGCTTATTGGGCCAAAGCCCACATAGTATTGATGTAAAGTGCCAAATCCTTGAATATTAAGTAACTAATTCATTTTTGGGATTAATCAAGAAACTAATTAATTACGTTTAAAAATTGAGGATCTTATATTAAAAATAGAATCATCAAAAAATGATGTAATATTTTGCTATAAATTGACAAGTCTTTGTAAATGATTTTCATCAATTGTTGAACATTACTAATTATGGAGACTAGAAACTTGTTTACTTTTGTTCTCTTCTTGCTATTCGTTTTTTCAGCTCGTAAGCCCTTTTTCTCTTTCAACAAATAACCACGTTTTTTTTTTCCTTTTCGTTTTTGATAATTTTTCTGATTATTTAATTTTTTTATGATTTCTAATAATTTTGCAGAGGAGAGCATGGGTAAAACATGTGACTATAATCTTAATTCGAGTTGCGTTAACGACGAAACTTGCAGAGTACAGTGCGTCCAATTAGGTTATCCTGTCGGCATCTGTATGATTGGTGGACCCATACCGCGACTCTGTTTTTGTCGAAAGAATTGCTAGACGATTTTTTTTTTTTTCCTTTACAAATTATGTTTCTTTGGTCTTGTTTAATTTGATCCAATAATTATGTTTGGCGATTTGAAAATAATTATGCTATTATTGCTGTCAAAAAAAAAAAAAAGAAAATAATTATGCTATTATTAAACTTTATTTTATTTGTTGAAAATATTTTATGTGATGTGCCTCTTGGGCCCTGATTATCGAATCGGAAAATATTGGCGTATCGTTTTACTCCGTGTATCGTATCGTAAGATATTTAATCAACTATTAAAAATTATAAAATATATATATATATCTACATAATAAAAATACTATAAAAATGTTAAAATTTATATTTTAAAGTGGAACCACTCATTTCTAATTTCTTAAAAAAAAAAAAGGGTAAATTACACACACACCCATGAGGTATGCTTAAATAACTGTAAGGTCCCTATGGTATCGATAATTACACTCACCCCCCTGAAACATAGTTATAAACTCTAATGGGATAATGCATTGGATACATTATTACGATAGAGTTCTAACGGACTATTGATTTCAGGAAGTGGTGGAGACGACAAAGAGTTATGGGTGATTTAAGTAATATTTAGGGAGGCATGTCACCTCATTACTCCCCATAACTCTATGTTATCTCCACCACTAGCTAAAAGTAATAGTCCATTAGAACCCTATCGGATATATATCGCGGTATCTCGCGAGTTTAACTAGTATGCTCTTGGCTAATTTAATATTGTAATCGATCAAATGAGAGCTTTACTCAATGGATTACTATTTGACATATATTATTTATATGGTATCTTAGGGTAATTAATAACTATTCAAAAACATTAAAAAAATAAAAAAAATAACAAAAAAATCACAAATTAAATATTTTATTATAATATATTCCAAACTCAAAATTTGATTACAATGAATTCGAAATTAGAGAGATTGACTAGTCTAGCAGTCAACTTTTCTACAGCCACAAATTCTTGGATTGAGTCCATGAAATTCACAAAAGGCAATAGGGTACCCTAAAGCTGCGCATGCTTCCTTACATTGTTCATCCATACCGCAATTTATATCAATCCCTGTCTCACATATTTTACCCATGCTCTCCTCCGTCAATTAAAAAAAAAAATTATTATTAAAAAATGCTAATAAAAAATAAATTAAAATAATTAAAAAAAAAAAGAACTTACGAGAAGCAAAAATTAATGTCAAGAGAAACACAAAGGTGAACAAGCTTCTGGCCTCCATTTTTTAATTTTTACTTTGCAGTATTGTGTTCTTCTCAATTTATAGTTTATTGCAACATAAACAGTATTTAATTTTTTAGTCTTCTTGATTTTTTGCTATATTTGTGTTTAATTGTTTAGTATCTAATTTAAATGGAGTATCAAATAATAATAATAATAATAATAATAACAATAAGCTAAGGGTAAATTACAAACACCCCTGAGGTATGGTTAAATTATGAAAAAACTCATTATGTTTGGAAAATTACAATCAACCCTTAACTATGTATTATCTTACACTTTTACTTTTACGATATCAAGTTTACCTAGTGAAAGAAGGGGTATAATTGTAATAAATACATAGTTGAGGGGTATAATTGTAATTACCCAATCAAAAGGGATTTTTTCGTTATTTAACCTTATCTCGAGGGGTGGCCGTAATTTGCACAATGATAAAACTTCTATTTTGATACGGGGCAGGGTATCAAATGATTAGTTTTTTTTGTTGCAAAAATATACACACCCCATGAACAAAAAAAAAAAAAATTTAAAAAATCAAGTATTCATTAATATTAGAAACCGCAATTTTAACTGAACAAAAGTTAAAATCTCACCCACGTAATAAAAATTACATATATCGGTTAATTTGTTTTTAATTCAATTTTATTTAAATAATAATGTATTTGATATCTATAGATTGAAGTGTAGCATAATTCTAAAAGTGTCAATTGTTTTTCTCCCGTTTTCGGATTTGTCTGATAACAAAACTTTAAATTCAGAATCAATCTAATTGGGAAACCATTTTTTCCTAGTAGAAAAATAGGCACGTGCCATAAATATATTCCTATAAATTAACACACATGTAAGATGTGTTCTAATTGTATCGTAAGAGTGAACAAGAAAAATATGAAGACTAGAGTTAAACCCTATGTCGGATTTATTTTTCTCGTCGTGTTTCTTTTGGCTTCTCGTAATAAGTCCCTTTTTACGAACCCCTATTTTTATTTATTACAATTTTTATTTTTTTTTGAAATTGGTGGATATGGAAGTGATTATTCAAATTATCTATGAAGATGTAATTGTGATTTTCCTTGCAGATGAGGGGGTTTTGGGTAAATTATGCGAGATAGACAACGGGAGTTGCAACGCGGATGACGACTGCACTTACTGGTGCGGTCGCAAAGGATATGCCGTCGGCATTTGTTGGTTTCGTGGACCTTTTCCTCGTAATTGTGTTTGTAGAACTAATTGTTGATTATTTCATCATTAATCATATATATATATATATAACTATTTTGATAATTTGTTTTACTTATAAATAAAGATGGTGATGATGATCTTATTTATATATCTAAACCATTGTTATTTTGTATCACAAATCATACATTGTGTGTTGTTGTTTGCTTCATTTTCAACAATAAAACGTCGTCATTAGTGTATATATATTATCTAAAGTCTAAACCACTTATTTGTTTGGAAAAATTAAGGAGACGAGATGACTTCGCTTCTTATTCTCCAGCGTACCACTTGGCTAGTTACGCTAAAGAATAATGGAGAGTAGATGACCGAGGTCAATTAGGATTGCAATTTTTCATCACGAAATGTAATGTACGTCAATAAGGGTTAAAATAGGTAATGTCTATTTAGAATTTCCTTATATAAACAAATGCAATAACCCAATTAGGGTTACGATTTATCGTCAACATACACTATTTTTTGAATTCTCTCTCTACTTTTATATTTTTGGTTCGTCTTGTGTGACTTCTCGACAATAACACCAACGTTAGGTAAGTGATATGCCTAATTGGGCCAACCCAATGGGCCTACAATTTCTTTACCTACTGGGCTACGAGCCCAATATCGAAGACTAATATCACCGAGGCCCAAACACCTTCAAGTAAGGCTTGTGCCCAACAAAACAAACCCAACCCAATAAATGACATATAAATAGAGGTTCTACTCATTTTATTGAGGTATGTCCTATTAACTGAGCAATACTATCAACTGTATTCTCTGGACTATTTCTATGATCAGCACGTCTGACTTGAGCGTCGGAGGGGTTTCCGCCGGATCAACCCCCGACTTAGTTCATGTGTTCTATGATCGCAGGTACCTCAGGATCATCAAGTTGTCAAGCTACTGATCCGCTTTGCTCTCCCAATTCATTTTCTACACTACCCTAAGTGAGCTACATTTTAGCATCATCAGTAAGCTTTTTCTTCGACGGTCGAATCTGGGAGGAGGTGTTGTTTATTTCTATGTTTTGAAAGAAAATATAATAAAACCCCAATAGAGAGAGAGAGAGAGATTGGATAGACATGTGTAACTTGGGAGGCAAAGAACCCATGATTTCAAAAGTGGAAGAAATATGTAAATGTAGTTTACTCTAATAAATCCTCAATATTCGAAATTTCAATGTTTTTCTATGTTTTTTTCCCAAATGAAATTATGAGTTAAACTTTAATTAATAAAGAATCATTTTCAGCCAATCCCAGATCTTCTACTAAATAAATAAACAATTTTGTTTAATTTTTTCCATCATTTTGCAACATATAAATTTACATACATACAAGAAATTATAACTAGGAAATAAAAAATAAAAAGAAATTGGACAACAATGGCGACTAGAAGTTCTTTCCTTGGTGGTCTCATGCTGCTTCTGGTGTTGATTTTCGCCTCTCGTATGTTTTCTATCTCTCAACAACATCACCATATTATACATCAATTTTATTTAAAAAATATTTTTTATTTAATTAGACCTGTTTTTTAATAGTATATTTAGTCTTAAACATTAACAAAGAAATTGAATCAAGAATTGATTAAACAACTTTTATTTTATTTGTAGTTTTATAATATGATAATCTGAATCCTAAACTAATGCAAATGAAATCCTATAAAAAAAATATTTTCCTATTTTCTGGCTTTTATCAAAAAAAAAAAAAAAGAAAGAAAGGCATAATTTATTTTTCTCGAAATTTAAGCCCATCATATAACAAATTCGATATATAGGAGTGGCCTTTACGAAAATCCACTGAAAAATAAATTATATTTATTAATTTATCGAGTTTCTAATTTTTTTTTTAATCCATTGGTGGGTAAGTGAATTAGTAATTGGGTAATTAAAATTGAAATATAATGAATAGTAATGAAATAATGAAAGTATTTGGGAATATTGCAGAAGAGACAACAATGGCGAGGACGTGTACATCAAAGAGTTCAAATTTCAAGGGATTGTGTTTCAGCAGTCACAACTGTAAGGCTGTTTGTAACGGCGAAAACTTTCCCGACGGTAAATGTCACGGTTTCAAACGTCGTTGCTTCTGTCAAAAGCCTTGTTAATTACTTTTTTACTCCTTTTTCTATTTTATTAATATTAATCATTATTAATTAGCAATAACATGAATTACAGTGTACTTATACATACTCTGTTGATTCTTGATAATAATATTAAATAAAAGCTTCGTTAGTTTTCTTTTAATTCAATTTAATACTAATAGAATTGTACTAATAGATATATACAAAATTCAGTTTATATTCCAATTTCCAATACTTGAATTTTTAATTAATGTTATCCGGATTTTAATTAATTTAATTTAATCAACCTTTGAAGATTGAATTCGAAAATAATCCTCCACCAAGAAAAAAAAATGAAAAAAAAAAAAAAAAAGTTGATGCATGGGGTTCAACGTGTCGCATTGCATGCAATAGGTTCGGACACGTGTGCACAAAGAAAATGTGATCCATCAATAATGCTATATATAAAGAGAAAGAGCTAGCTTTCAGACATATATATATTCTTCTTTCTACACAATATATAATTAATTAATTAATTAATTAATTAATTAGTTAATCAGCGCTTAATTAGCTGTAGCTATTAATAAATAATGGGCCGGTTCAGTAGTGCTTCAGCCGCCGCGTGCCTGGTTTTTATGCTTTTGGTCTTTTTGACAATATCGCGTAAGTAATTCAATTAAGTTAATATACAAATAAAAAAATAATTTAAATGAATTGATTAATAATTAATAAATAACAGAGGAGGCGAAAATGGCGGAGGCGAGAACGTGCGAGTCGCAGAGCCACGGGTTCAAAGGGAGGTGCTTGAGCGACCACAACTGCGGGATGGTGTGTAAGAACGAGGGTTTCTCTAACGGCTGGTGCCGTGGTTTCCGCCAGCGCTGCTTCTGCACGCGCGCCTGCTAAATTTTTATAATAATAATAATAATATCTATATGCACACGTGCTCTTCTGCTTGCACGTGTGTGTATATATATATAGATATCTTTGTTCGATCAATGAAGAATAAGAAGGTTGTCGTGCTTGCACACGTACACTGCTTGATGTTGTAACTTGTAATGTATTATGTCGATATGCTTATGTTGCATATTCGATTTTATTATTATGATAGTTAATAAAATTGTGAAACTACTGTTTTCACTCCTCAATTTTGCACTAACTGCATATTTTTCTAACATTTTTTGTCATTTTCATTAAATTTACCGTTAGTTTTTCGGTTAAAGAAAGAAAAATTTACCATTAGTTTGTCGGTTAAAGAAATGATGGGCACTCTGGTTGATTCTGTTAAGACCAACGAATTATTGATGGGAAAGATTAAAATTGCTCGATTTTCTGTTAAGAACAACAAATTATTGATGGAAATGATTAAAATTGCTCGACTTTGAATCATAAGAGATCAAATATGATTTTTTAAATATGAGGGATTCAATGCGAAATAAGTGCTAAATTGATGGATGAAAATTGTATTTACACCGTTTAAAATACCATCAAACAACAGTAAAATAAGAGGTTGAGATGCAAGAGCGGTGGCCAAACCGGAACCAGCAAGTCTGAGGGGGCGAATGCATTAAAAAGTAAGTCTGAGGGGGGGGCGAATGCATTAAAAAGTAAGTCTGAGGGGGGGGCGAATGCATTAAAAATATTATGAGGGGCCGTTAATGATAGAAACGAATAATTTGAGAAACGTAATGGGGCCCTCAACCTCTTGGTCTTGTACTGGAGAATTTCAAAACTAAGCTTGGATTAGTTGATTATCATTTGCTATATCAATTAATCAAATATTAAAATCATGTCTTGATGATGAAATAAACTTTTTTTTTTTTTTAATTCAAATCATTTCTTGAAACTTCTGATTTTTTTCCCTTTTCTGTTATTAATATTTGCAATTCATAAAATTAAAGATCATAAGCATTTAATCCAACACACCAGTGTGACCATAGCAAGCTGATAAGTATCAATGCAGTTTTTCCACCAATCAAATTAAGCTCTAAATCGAACTTAAATAAAATTTTCTCAAATTATGCATACAGTATTTTTTCTGCACCATATAAAACCCAACGCAATTGCGCAGTTCAACCTCAAATTCATACTTCATTAGTCATAAACATGGCTAAACAAATCCCAACTCCCTCTCTCTTTCTACTCATTCTCTTAGCTTTCCGTAAGTCTCTCTTTCTCTCTCTCTCTCTCTCTCTCTCTCTCTCTACATATATATATATATATATATATATATATATATATATAATAATGTCTTTTATTTTTATAAACTGCAATTTCATTTGAATGAATTAACTTAAAATTATTTGCGTAAAATGCAGAATGGGTAATGTTGATAGTACCAGGTGAAGCATCTCTATGCGAGACCCCGAGCAGGTACTTCAACGGCATTTGCTTCAGCCGCAGAAACTGCGGTGCGATTTGTGAGAAAGAAGGCTTCTCTTCCGGAAGATGCAAAGCTTTCAAGTGCGTATGCGGCAAAGATTGCAATGCTGCTGGAGGAGGTGGTGGCGGTGGTGGCGGAGATCCAGGCCTAGGCCCACCCGTAGAAGGCCCACCAGATCAAGGCCCACCGGAAGAAGGCCCACCCGGAGAGGGCCCGCCCGAAGAAGGCCCACCAGCTGGCGATATACCCCCTGTTCGTAAAATTTAAGACCATGTTCTTGACCACATTGGTAGATGAGGACATTATTCCAGTCCCTTCTCGACTTGCACCTAAAGTATTTCAGTGAACAATTTTAGACTTGCAATAAAATCTCGATTAAGTTTATGAAGTTTGATGCAGGTTCCAAATTATGCAATCAACTAGGTTATTAGATCTTACATGGATTGTATTTTTGATTCCCTCTAAACGTGGTTTAATAGAGAATAAATTCAATACATAGTCTTTAGATTTTGCCTAAACATGACTTAATGACTAAGAAATTCAACACAAGCCAGAAAAAAACGACTAAACGACACATGGCCTGAACGCAAAATAAATGAATACTACTACATACATATATATTCTCAAGACATGCATAAAGTCCAGAATATGCATACTCCAAACTGTTTTTTCTTAGAGGAAAAATCGAAAGGAAGGAATAAAGTCAATCGGATGACTCACATATTTCAAGTTTCTTGGAAATGTAACATAAAAGCATTAATAATTACAAAATTCCACCTTAAGTTTCAATTGTCTTCATTTCAGCTATGTATAAAATCACCTCAAGAAAAAAGAAAGTTTCATTTATGTTTGGTTGAGACTAAATGACTTCATATAGGTCACAACTGAAGCGTTATTCCACTTGTCTGAATACTCCCAAGGACCAGAAAGTCATTAGCATCAAGAATTTTCGATTTCAGCAATATCAGCAATTATATATAGTTAAACAAAAAGAAGAAAAACATACTTGGAAGAACAGATTTCGATTGCAAGCATGGCCATAATGTTTTCTGCACTGGTTCTGTTGTTGCATCTTCTAATCTCTCGTAAGCCCGCAAATTCTTGCCATATTTCTTATTCATTAATTTAGCAATAAGGTCTGATAAAAAGGGACATCGGTTGAAATCTGAATAGATGCATATATGTGAAATTCCACTACAATGTCGTTCTACACATTGCATTGTATTACTATTGTTCTCTCGTATTCTCGAACATAGTACGTTAAGAGGTAGAACTGACTTGTATTTTTCGATGCGCTAATTCAAATTTGCAGATAATGAAAAGATGCACGTCGAAGCAAGATTTTGCGAGGCACCAAGCAAGTTATTCCACGGCGCTTGCTTCAGTGACAATAACTGCGGTAAAATATGCGAGAAAGAAGGTTATCTTTCAGGCAGATGCAAGGGATTATCGTTCAAATGTACATGCTACAAAGACTGTGATGTTCATGGTGGTCATGGCGGCGGCGGCCCCCCCTATACCCCTCCCACAGGACCCCCTGACACCCCACCTGAAGGCCCCCCATATAACCCCCCTGATAGCCCTCCAACTGGACCCCCTGAGGGGCCACCTTATAACCCTCCTACAGGCCCCCCCGTAGGGCCACCGATTAACCCTCCGAGTGGTTGTCCTAATCCTCCCATAATTCCTAATCCTCCGGCAGGTTGTCCTAATCCTCCAACATGTTGGCCTTATCCTCCAATATGCTGCCCTAATCCACCCGGAATCCCTTTTCCTATACCTCCAATAGGTTGTTTTATTCCTCCCGTCATCCCAATTCCTAATCCTGGAATTGGATGTCCTACTACTCCCATTATAACAATTCAGAATCCTAGAACTAATACTCCCCTAATCCCTATTCCTAAGCCTCCCACGGGCTACCGTAATCCTCCCATACCCCCCTTTCCTAGTCCTCCAACAGGCTGTCTTAATCCTTCCGTAATCCCAATTCCTAATCCTGGAACTGATTGTCCTAATCCTCCCGTGATCTCAATTCCTAAACCTCCAAAAGGTTTTCCTAATCCTGGAATTGATTGTCCTAATCCTCCCGTAATCTCAATTCCTAAACCTCCAACAGGTTGTCCTAATCCTCCCGTAATCTCAATTCCTAAACCTCCAACAGGTTGTCCTAATCCTCCCGTAATCTCAATTCCTAAACCTCCAACAGGCAGCCCTAATCCCCCCGTAATCTCAATTCCTAAACCTCCAACAGGCTTCCCTAATCCCCCCGTATTCCCTATTCCTAAACCTCCAATTGGTTGCCCTAATCCTCCAATCATAACAATTCATAATCCTAGAACTAACAGCCCTAATCCTCCTATAATCCCTATTCCCAAACCTCCAACAGGCAGCCCTAATCCTCCCACCATCTCCAGTCCACCACCACCACCACCACCAACTGGTTGTGCTACGCTTTCCGGCAAACGTGTGAAAACTGAAATGGCTTTATGCTAGTGGGTGACTGAATCCAACTGCAGATTACATTGTTATGCATCATGTATTTTATTGTTCATTGTTTTTGCACAAGTTCTTCAATTTTTTAACAATTATACGTCTGGAACGTGTGTTTTGGTAATTACAGAAACCTAGTATCAAATTGAGTATGCAGAAGTAGCAATTCAACAAAAATGAAGTCTTTTTACCTCAAAAAAAAAAAAAAATCATAATTTGAAACGATCGTAAAATACAGAAATTGCGATTCAACATTTAATAATTACCTCGTTTGAAGACATAATGTACAATCTTCGCAATCTCGATCGCCATAATGTATTCATCCAACAACAATTCCAGAACCAATTTTTTTTTTTTTTTTTTACTTCGATGAAGAAAAATAAAACAATTAAATAAAAAACCTACTGTGGGCCGAGTTGAATCAAATTTCAAACACATGCGCGGCCAACCAAACACTATATTATTGCAAATAGGGCCTCTTTCTTATCTGGTGGGCCCCATGATTTGGTCCAGTTGGATAGATGGTATTTCAATTTTTTTTTTAAATTATCTATAATGATTCAATTAAAAAAGAAAAAGATGAATTTTATCTATGATTAATTTAATTTTTAATTATGGGATGAATTTAAATTTTAAACAGTATTTAGTCTCCAATAAAATTATCAAATTACGTATCAGTTTTCCAAATTGATATTTGAGGGATAAGGTTCTTATCTTAAATTAGAAAAGCGATTGTGACAGTAACAAATTGTGTGCACGTATTATATCAAAAAATATGGCACCTACACCACAATAAATTTTGTGTGATTTATTCAATTACTTTTTATTATTATTTTGTGCGTGTCACTTTGCATGAGAGAGAAAGTGACGCTCACGCGCCTTCATACATCACGAAAATGATGTGTATCTTTTTTCGAGCTAGTACTCGACCTTGCTTTTAGATTATTCAATAAAGAAACATGATGTATGAAAATAAAATAAATAATTGAGATAATGCTAAAAACTGACTCGAAATTTCACCAGAAACCAACTTTTTAGTAAGTGGGATATTTCTTTTTGCAATAAAATGCTTGAAAAATCCAACATGTTTTTGTTTCAATAATGTTTTCTTTTGGCATAATCTTGCTGACACAACATATCTCATTTCCCCAAACATGCCCTACAAACTTATTGTCGATTATTTGTATTAAATCATTAATTTCTATTATTTACAAATTATTCCACAATCACAACTGATATAAAATGTGTAAACTGCACTGCACTGAACAAGTTATTTGCGACGAGTTTGACCTAACAATTTCTAGATATGTTTGTGGTTGTTAACTCTGAACTCACATATTTATAGAGTAGGATGGATGTATATTTTCCTAATTAATAATTTTTTTTCCATATATCATAGTTTAAAATTAATAGTAGATTTATCGCAATCTTTGTTTGAGTTATGATAATAAATTCAACAATGTTGAGCATTATTGGTCAAAACTCAAAAGTAGATTTTTTTTATTTTTTTATTTTTTGATAAGTAAAAGTAGATGGTTTCACCTAACTAAAGTTGCAAGTATAATGTAAACATACACTAAGGTCACCTTTGTTTAAAATAAAATAAAATAAAATATTTTAACTCACTAAAAAAAACTTTCTTAATTAAAATTAAAAAAAAAAAATTATTTAGAAATGGTGTAACTAATGATCCAATGAGCCAGCCAATAGTGTTTCGCCACGTGTTCTTTTTTACTTCGGTACGGTGCCTACGCCGTAGCACTACTGTCCAACTCCCCATGCTTATATCAAGGAAGAAAAAAGTAACCTTTCGGGGGCAGTTTTAAAACTCTCGAACCGCAAAAAATATAAATTCCACTCACAGAAAATAATTGCATCTGCATTACCATCTCCTTTTCAAATTCCTTAAAATCTCAGATCAATCCGGTATGGAGAGCGGCGGCGGCGGCGGCGGCGGCGGCGACGCCGTAGGGGAAAGTCGGAGGGAATTGCTGAGCGCAGCGGAGATCGAAAACCCGACGTGGAGGCTCAACATAAACGAGTTCCGATTGCCGGAGCGCGACTCCGATCACCGTAATCAGTCCTTCAGTATCCGACGGCTCCTTCGAAATAAAAGTATGTGCGTTTTTTTTGTTCAATTTGTGCGTGTGTGTGTGTACTGTACGTGATTTTGGTGAATGGATATGATTTTAGGAGGAATTAATTTGGGGTTGGTATGGATTCTGTTCGCATCTTGTAAATAGAAAAAAAAAGCATATAATCCGTACGATTGATGTATAAATTAATCATCTCTTTTGTTTCTGGGACTGGGAATATTGAATAGAAAAATTCCTAGATTTAGTTCTCCTTTCCTTTTTTTCTAATTTGTATTTTGTATTAAAAAAAAAAAAAGTAAAAATAATTTTTTTTCTTCATGTATTCCAGATGCTAATTAGTAATTACGTATGCTTAAATTAATTTCCTGACTGAACTTTTATCAGTGCATGCTGTACAGGCAGATGGTCTGTGGGCTGAGTCTCAATCATACTGTTAAAAAAATATTTAATTGAGCAAACAAATAAAAAAAATTGAAACAACCAATTAAAATTTAATGAGAACTCTGTAATTTCCGTCATTCGAGTGTGTCGGAATCTTGGCGAAAACTGTATCTTATTTGCCACTTGTGATTTTAAGTCATCAAGAGAGTTTACTAACTTCAGTTGAATGAGCCAGAGGCATGGACTAATCCAATTGCGCTGATTAAAATACGAAGTAATATCGGCAATGTTGTTGCCTTTCAGTCGGGGATGTTTGACGTTCTCTAGGCTTCTTTTTCATTTTAACTTGATGTATAAATTATAACGCATTGTAAAATATTGCACAAAATGTCCGGTTCTGTATATAGTTTCGTCTCGTGTTTTTTTTATCTTGCCACCACAAGTAAGTGTATTTCACTTCTTCTTTAACATTTAGTCTTATTGCTGCATTTATTTATTTTTTTTGTTTGTCAGGAAAACAACATAAAAAAGTTGCTGAATATTACAAAAAGCAAGAGCTACTCCTCGAAGGATTCAACGACATGGAGACTATCCATGAAGCTGGTTCTTTACCAGATACTCCAACAGAGGTTTATTTTGCAGATTGACCTTCTTCGAAGATATTATTCTTTTTGATTTTTCTGATTTTTATTTTTTGGTTTATCCTCAACACTGCTCAAATGTGTGTCAGGATGAACTGAAAAGTCTTGCCAAGAGCGAAAGGATGGCTGTCCATGTGTCGAATATAGCTAATTTGATCCTTTTCGTAGCAAAAGTTTATGCCTCTATTGAGAGCAGGTCTTTGGCTGTCATTGCATCGACAATGGATTCTTTCTTAGATCTGTTATCGGGGCTGATCTTGTGGTTTACTTCCCATCAAATGAGACATCCGAACCAGTATCACTACCCAATCGGGAAAAAACGGATGCAACCAGTCGTAAGTTTATTCATCTCCTGCAATTAATCAGAGTTGTCGAGGCCTTCCTCTATTGAATCTTTTTTATTTTCTGTCGATTCAATTTCAAACTATACTTTATGAGCTCCGATCCCCCTCATCTAACAGGAGTTTCATTCACAAGATAAGTTGTCGTTACTTTAACCAAAGGTATCTTGTTTGCAGGGGATTATTGTTTTCGCGTCTGTAATGGCAACTCTAGGATTGCAAATTATACTGGAGTCTGTTCGGCAACTCATTGCAAAGGTATATATTCACTGTCGTATACTTGTTTACCCGAAACCTGAACAAAACAAACAATTAAAGCTTATTTTACGACACTTTACAGACTGGCTCTGGCCCTGATATGGACCATGACAAGGAGATGTGGATGATTGGAATCATGGTCTCCGTTACTGTAGTAAAGTTTTTCCTTATGCTCTACTGCCGAAGATTTAAGAATGAAATCGTTAGAGCATACGCTCAAGACCATTTTTTCGATGTCATAACCAACTCGATCGGATTAGTCACTGCCGTGTTAGCCGTCCGATTCTACTGGTGGATCGATCCTGCTGGAGCCATAATTGTAAGTAGACTCCCACTCACTCTTTCTTCTGCTTACGACATGAATAAAAAACAGAGTTGTAACGTATTTTTTCGTACGTTACAGATAGCAATATATACAATCAACACGTGGGCTAAAACGGTGATTGAAAACGTGTGGTCATTGATCGGAAGAACAGCCCCACCGGACTTTCTTGCGAAATTGACGTATCTAATATGGAACCACCATAGAGAGATCCAGCATATAGATACAGTGAGAGCGTATACTTTTGGCTCTCATTACTTTGTGGAGGTCGACATAGTTTTGCCCGAAGATATGATGTTGAGCCAAGCGCACAATATTGGTGAAACGTTGCAAGAGAAGCTGGAGCAGCTCCCTGAAGTTGAGAGAGCTTTTGTTCATATAGACTTTGAGTTTACTCATAGACCAGAACACAAGAGCAAAGTATGATCTTGGCATGATAAAATAAAAATTGGGGTACTACTGTAATTTCTAGATTTCATCTCTAATTATCGAAAAGGCCCCCCTAAATCTGCAGTTTTTAGTTTTGAGACCCCCTACTCGGGCTTTGAACGCTTGACATCTTTTGCATAAGTTAAAACATTAAAGTTTTACGATTTGCGATTTGATTTAACGGTTCATTACGAGGTTTAAGCTTGTTGATTCAAATATTTACGATTTTGTTTTGTCAGAATTACATCGATTTTAATACGATATAATCGATTTAAAACTAAAACGGATTGTCGAAATAGGCGATGGTGTCGCCTCGTATTTTAAAGTTGCTAATTTTTTCTTTTTAATTTTTATGATCGATCATTTACTTTATTGTAAATGTTACTTGGCAATTAAACACGGGAAAATATTTATAGTTTTAGTAATTTTATTAGGATTTGTGTACATTATTTCTTATATTTCATAAATATTCACTTTAAATTTAGAATACGATTTATTAATTATATATTTATATAATTAACGATTAATCTTTATGCGCAACTTTAAAACTATAGTCAATAAAAAAATATTTTTTTAGTAACTAGTAATCAACGGCCACCGTAGAATGAGGGTAACGCGTAAAGTAAAACCGGAAAATTCGTAATCAACAACGAAGGGCAGCATGGTAAATTCAGAGGCAGATGGCCAAAACTAGGGTTTGTTGCGGGGATTCAATTGCTTATATATAGCCGCTCTTCTTTCTCCCTCAATCAACAACTCACAACAGCAAACAGCATTTTCTCTCTCATCTTCGATTTGGGATCTACCTTCTCCATATTCATTATTCCCAAGCTTTGATTCTCTCTCTATCTCTTTCTCTCTCTCTTTTTTTTTTTACTGCAATTTATTTTTATACTACTGAGAATGAAAAGTTTGAAGAGAAAAGGCAACGCATTAGAGTCACTGATGCACTACAATAATCATGGTGTGTTTAGTGCTTACCGTTGCCGAGATTGATTTTATGTTGGATCTGAGAATTTGGCATCGGCTTCTTTTACTCGCTGCTGCTTTCAGATCTGATCTTACATTTTCTCCTTTGATAATTTTATGATTTTTCTTTTCAATCGATTTTATTGCAGCTGTGTTGATTTCAATCCTTGGTTTAAAATGAGAAACAGGATCAATCAACGGAAATCGATCTACTGATAATTAAAGTTGATTTTAAAATTTAAATTTTAAATTAATTTTTAATGTGCAAAAAATACATTTTTTAACGTGTAACAAATGTTTTATATTGGAAAATGTATTTGCTGTCACCAATTTAGAATTATCAAAGTTTATTCAAGCTTGTTAATTAATTGTACTCCATTTTTTTACCAGTAACCGTTGTCTCCGACCGGTGAAAGAAATAATACAGACGATTAGTTAATTTGAGCTATTATTTCAACAAAAAGTCATTTACCTAGGTCTGCTAATTAATTTGGATATTCTTATAAAAAATGATATGGATCCAATTAAAAGAATAGCTATTAATTATTCATAATAAATAAAATACTTTTCAAAAGCATTTCAATTGCTTTAGATGTTATAATGGTTGGCTGGAATGGATCGGTTATGCTGCCCTCTTCTGGAAATTGGAAACCATAACCAAAATGTTTTTTTGGAGCTGTTGGAATGGCCTTAACTGCAAATAGATTATTAAAGAAAAAAGGGCGAACGGCCAAAAGGCCGCTCACGGACTTAAATGCATTTTGGTCCACAAGAAAAATTGTCTCTCAATTAAACCAATTCTCATGTCTTTAGTCTTAAATGTCCTCAGTAATATAATTCTTATAGATTTCACTTATTATTCTCTAGCTTCCTTAATATTACACATTGACCTCGGATTTAAATAAATATATCACATTAACCCTCAAAACTTTTTTTTCAGAAAATAATTTTTTTTTCTGAAAAGTTTTTTTTTTCCGGCCAGATTCTGGCGTAGACCGCCGGTCTCCGGCGTTGACTTTTTTTGAAAACCTTTTTTTTTTAAACTTTTTTTTCCTAATTTTTTTTTCCGGCCGGTCAAGCACCGTTGATCGTCGGTCTTCTGGTTGATTTTTTTTTTTTCTTTTTTGATTTTTTTTTAGAAAAAAAATATTTTAATTAATATTACTGATTTGGCTACTAAATTACTCTCTCAGACAGTAATATTACTGTTTGGGACTGTAGTATTATGAATATTATTTTCCCGAACAATAATATTATTAATATTATTGTCTAAAACAGTTAAATTACTGTTGGAGACAGTTAAATTACTGTTGGAGACAGTAATTTAGCATCCAAGGTAGCAATATTAAAAAAATAATTTAAGGGAAAAAAAAAAAAGTCAATTAACAGTTACATTACTGTCTTTGACAGTTAAATAACTGCTGGAGACAGTAATTTAACAACGAATACAGTAATATTAATTAAAAATATTTTTTTTAAGAATAAAAAAGTTGATCAACGGTTAAATTACTATCTCCAACAGTTAAATAACTGCTGGAGACAGTAATTTAGCAACGAATACAGTAATATTAATTAAAATATTTTTGAAGAAAAAGAAAAGTCAATTAATAGTTAAGTAATTAATTAAAATATTTTTTTTAAGAAAAAACAAAATGATAAAAAAAAAAAAAAAAAAGTCAACGCCGGTCAACGACGGCGGCCGGCGGGGGCGGGTCAAAATTGGGGTCAAAATTGAAATTAGGGTTAAAATTGGTTAATTGATGAAATTGGGATAAATTGGAGGTGTAAATCATGTAATTGGAGTTGAATTAAGTTTCAATGAATTGGGGGTAATTTTGGTATATATAAAAGGATTTTTCTTATTTACAAATAAGTTTGAATGAGCTGGATTTATTTGAAAGACAAAAATATTGGATGTCCCTCTTTCAATTAAGTGCCCTTGTCATGGGCCTATTTGCCATCACCTCAAGAAAAAAAACGTTATTTTGGAATCTTATTTTGGAGAAGAAAAGAATTAATTAAAAACACTAATTTTAATTAACAAATAAAATAACTAACATCGAGAGAATTAGTATAGCATTTTAATTAAAATTTGTTTGTCATGGCAGCAACGAAGCTGCAACAGTGCAATGAATCTGGGACTATGTGTCATGTAAGAACAAGAATGTCTTAGTTGATTGGATTTTAAAAAATCTATTTATGTAAATAGTTAAATCTAATTCGAGCAAAATTAGAATAAACATTTATTACTATAACTTGTTAACAGTGCAATATATGTGAGTGATGATACAGACATTCTCATATGTTAGGTAGCTAAAATGTAACCAACACTTAAAAGATGGGAGTGCAATGCACTGTCTATTATTGTTATTACTATAACGAGTAAATTGCAAATACTACCCCTGTGTTATCTCGAAATAGCAAAAACCCCCCTGTGATAAATAAACTAGCAAAAACCCCCCTGTGAAATTTAGTCAAAGGCAGAATCCCCCCCAGCTGATTTTTTAGACTTGAAATGACAAAATTGTCCCTCAAAATGTATTTATATATATACATATTATATGTATATTTATTCTTTTTAATTTATTTGTTTAGAAATTAAAAAAAATAGTAAACAACTAAATTGATTATTTTTTAAATAAAATAATTAAAATATTTATAAAATATAAGAATTTATTAATTGCAAGACTCTAGGGGTATTTGTGTCTTTTTATATCAAGTCAACCCTCAAATAGTTCCATAGGGGGGTTTTTGCTATTTAAATAATTTCACAGGGGGGTTTTTACTAGTTTATTTATCACAGGGGGTTTTTTGCTATTTCGAGATTACACAGGGGTAGTTTTTGCAGTTTACTCTTACTATGACTATTATTATGCGCGTATGAAAAAAAAGTAATAATATGCTGTACTAAAATAAATTGTTACTAAAATATGTTAATTTTCCCTCAACTATTTAAGATAGGGGTGCTAGATGGAAGGGAGGTTTCGATTTCCGCCGGTTTCGATCCGAAAAATTCTGATTTTATAACAACTTTTTCCATTTCGATTTCCGAATTTTTTGGATTGGAATTGGAAGTATATAAAAAAAAATGGAATTTCCATTTTCCTATCCGATTTAATTTCTGAAATTAATTCTGAAAAATTCTGATTTTTTTCTGAAAAATACACCTATAAATAATATATATTATATCCTACTTATTTTAATTTTTTTTTTTTTTCTGAAATAATTTAATTTAAGTTTTGTTTTAGGATTTTGACATATTGAGGGGATGTTTGGTTATGTTTCCAATGGGAATTTCTAGTTTTCAAAATTTCTGATGGAAAAAGTAGTTTATTGGTGTTTGTGTAGAAAATGAGAATACGTTTGGATGAAGGGGTATTTTTAGTTTTATGTAGGTGTAAAAATGGGAATATGTTTGGTTGTGGTGAATTTTCTCTACGAAAGTACGTGCAAAAGTAGAATATAATGATTGAGGATGATGATAGTGATTATTATTATTATTATTATTATTATTATTATTATTATTATTATTATTATTATTATTATTATTATTATTATTATTATTATTATTATTATTATTATTATTATTATTATTATTATTATTATTATTGTTATTATTATTATTATTATTGTTATTGTTATTCTTATTCTTATTGTTATTGTTATTGTTATTGTTATTGTTATTGTTAGTGATGATGATGATGATGATGATTATTATTATTATTATTATTATTATTATTATTATTATTATTATTATTATTATTATTATTATTATTATTATTATTATTATTAGTAGTAGTAGTAGTAGATAGAGTATTTGGGAGGTAAGAGTATGTAGATATTAATGATGAGAGAGAAATGAGATGAGAGAGAGTGTGAATATCTATGAGGAGAGAGAAATGAGTTGATGGAATAAAATATATAGGTTAGTATTAGGTTTTAGTAGGTT